TTCGCTCTTGACAAGCTCCGTGAGGAACTAGGCAAGGTATTGAGGGTATCTTCAGGTTGACCGTGGTAGATGCAGAAGAGGTTCAGGAGTGACCATCGTGTATACTATCAGATTCAAAAGGAGATTACTCAGAAAAAGAAGGCCTCTAAGGGTAAGGACCCTTGCACTGAGGAACTCGTTCGCAAGGCTGAGGGCGAGAAGAAAATTCAGGAGCAGGAGAAGCTCGTTGCTGAAGTTGCCAAGTCTCGTGATGCTGTAATATCGAGTGTGTAAGAATGGTGATGATGAAGGTGTTGATGTTCTCTAGGCTGTACACTCTATCGGGAATATCATCCTTCCTGATGTGCCTGTCGGCAATGATGAGGACAACAACGAGGTGTACAAGAAGTGGGGTCAGCCTAGGTACTATACCATCGATGCATTGAGTAGTCGAGTCTCTTTGTTATTCGTAGACAAATCCTCGTCGATGGGAAGACCCCTGGTCACCTCTACCATCACCAGATTATGTACATGCTCGGTGCTATGGACCAGGAGCGCGGCATTAATATCGTTGGTCATCGTGGATACTTCCTCCGTGGTGTTGGGGTCCTTCTCAATATGGCCCTCATCAACTACGGTATGAGCCTGCTTGTTAAGAAGTAGTAGAGGCTGCTCTGGTGAATACTGTTGGAGCTCGTTTGTCGTGTAGGGGTTACACCGCCCTCCAACCTCCCTTCTTTATGAAGAAGGACATCATGGCTGAGACCGCCGAGTTGGGCGACTTCGATGAGCAACTTTATAAGGTGAGGGTGATGCCCTCAGGGGCTCAGGAGTAGTTCTGGTCAGGTCAGCGAGAACTCCCAGCAGAAGAAGGAGGAGAAGGGCCTCAAGGAGAACGATGGGGAGTACTACCTCATCGCCACTTCCGAGCAACCTATCTCGGCCTACCACCGTAAAGAGTGGATCGACGAGGACCAACTCCCTCTACGTTATGCTGGGTAATTGATACTCTTGAAAGTTGCAATGACATGCCCTTCAGTATTTCTACCTGTTTCCGTAAGGAGGCGGGTTCCCACGGTAAGGAGACCTGGGGACTATACCGAATCCATCAGTTTGAGAAGTTG